GCAATAGAAAGCTGCAGCCAGGATTTTCACTTTGATGGCAATGCAGTCAGATGCATTATCAGCTGCTCCTGTAGCTGTTTGTCTTTTTTCTATCATGAGAATATTACCATTTCTCTGATGACTATAAACTAGTGATTATTTTTGACCTCTTTTCTTTAATTATAACATAAAGTCTATTGTTGATACATCCTCATCCTCATCCTCATGATGATGATGATGATGATGATGATGATGATGATGATGATGATGATGATAATAATAATAATATGGTTCAGTATTCCCTTCTTCTGGAGGTGGCCTGGGACTGTGCACCTTACCCCGGGCCACACAGGCTGACTCTACTTGCAGGAAGCACAGTAGAGAATTGAACTCTCAATCTCTGGCTCCATGGCCAGATACCTAAGCTACTGAGCTATCCAGCTCAGCTACAGTATCCAGCTTAGATATAGCGTTTAAAGAACTGAATAAACACGCATGAGCAGAATAATTGTGGTATCTGCTTATTTAACTAGTTGTTGGCTACTAATATTTACTATTAAATTAGGGCCTTCAATATTGAAAAGAAAATGTTTTTGTAGTATATCCAGAATGAGTTTGTTTTTAAAGAAATCTTGTATTTCATTGTTTTAACTGTTTTACTACTACTACTATACTACTAACTACTACTACTACTACTACTACTACTACTACTACTACTGGTGGATAATATACTAAGGTATAGTGTTACTATGAATATGTTATATTCACATTGGCATTAAACTTTATTAATGGAATATTAAGCGATGGCGGGACCCTTGGAAAAGAAAGGAGTTGTTTCTAAGCTTTAAAAAACTAAAGCAAATATGGCATTATTGCAAAACACACACACACACACACTTGTGGAAGACGATAAAGGTAGTCTGCATAAAGATTGGTTACTATTGCAAGACACACACACACACACACACACTTGTGGAAGATGATAAAGGTAGTCTGCATAAAGATTGGTTAGGGACAGTACATAATACTAGCCCTCCTAAGAATTCTAAGCACATAGTTATCCTCATATATAAGAATGCCTTTCTTGGAGTATTAGCTGATTCAGAGGGCCAATTTATTTGCCTTCTGGTGAAAATTTAAAATATGACAATAGCAACTTTGAATATTTATGGCTCAATTTTGGACTCTCTTCTAATATTTCATTCAAGGAGATTTTGATGAAATTATCAATCCAGTCCTAAACAGAAGTACACTTCCTCATAGAATTCAATCCTTAGTGTGGTCAGCACTAAAAGGATATATGTCTGATCTGAGCTTGATTCATGTTTGGCATGTACTACATCCTACAGAACAAGACCATACATTGCTCTCATTGGTGCAATAAAACTGCTCTTTGTTAGACTATGGTTTGATATCATCTCCTTTACTTTAATATGTTATAATATTCTTCACATGAAAAGCAAAACAGAATTGAGCAGGAAGAAAATTTGAAAAAGACTGCAAAGTCTCTTCCAAGTAAATTTACAACACCCCATCCCCCTGATATTTATCAAAAGTTAGGGAAAGGTAAGGGAGGTCACTCAATTACGTAGATTCAATCTTATGACTGCTGGTCTTCAAATCCTTGCAGCACAGAGGTTTCTGCAGTATAACCCGCAGCGCCACCATGTCCCTTATCAAAAGCTACGACAAGCTAAAATTGAATTAAATAATTTACACTCTGCTAAAGCTGAATTTGCACGGATGTGTATGGAGAGTTTGGGAAGTGGTGAGAAAGCAGGTAAAATATTGAAAGCAACAACAAAAATTTGGAATTATATTCCTTTAATAAAAGAGGATCAAAGTACTTCATTTACAACTCCAAGAGAAATAAATTTACAATTTCAAAAATACCCCTCTAAATTATACAAGAAAAACAGTGACACTATAAGGTGTAAATATGAATATTTCTTTTTGCAATTGATTTCTTGATGGCTAAATATCCATGAAAAGGAGAGCCTTTCAAGACCATTAGAGATAGAAGAAATTAGAAGGACCATTGAAATGAAAGATTGAAAAACATTGAGGCCATACGGCTTCCCCATAGAATGATATAAGACATATGTGGATTTTCTGATTCCTAAGGTTTTTCATGTCTATGAAAAGGTCTTTGAATCAGGTGTCTTGCCAACTTCACTGTACAATGCATATATTTCTCTTATACTGAAATCTAGTAAAGATCATACTAACTGTGTGAATTATAAACCAATTCCCTCAATGTAGATGCCAAAAAAATATCTGCAGTTTTGGGTAACAAAGTCTGGACTTTGATATCAAAAATAGTAAATCCAGATCAAGTAGGTTTTAAAGATCAGGGGCAAACCATTTACAAGTGGTAATTAATTTCATAGCCCTAAATAGTAATAGGGCCTGCTGTGCTCTTGTCCAAGGAGTCACAAAGAGTTGGACATGACTTAACGACTAAACAACAATAACAAAATAGTAATAGATTGGATCCAGATGCACTTATTTGAATGCTGAAAAAGCATTTGATAAAATACATTGGCAATTTATGTTTGCTACTTTAGAAAAAAATGGATTTCCAGAAGAATGTATACAATGGATTTAAATTTTATACCTATGTCCTAAATCACAAGTAGTGGATTCCTTTCTATACCTTTCATTTAGGGAGAGGTATAAGACACTGCTGTCCCTTGTCTCCATTGCTATTTGATTTATGTTTGGAACTATTCTGTGCTTTAGACAGAATAGGATGATCCGTGGCTTTGTTAATGACCAAGCAGAATTTAAATTAGCTTCATATGCAGATAATTTATTACTATTCATTAGCAGACCAGAAATATCTATACCAGAATTAATAAAAATAATCAATAATTTGGTAGAATCCCAGGACACACAAATAATTGGTCAAAAACTGAGCTAATGACTGTGTGTAATTATAAAACATTTGCATTGTATAGTAAATAGTGGTTTTGTTGGTATCTAAATATATTAACATATTTAGGTATTTTGATCTCAAAAGATATCTCTCAAATAATTAAACTGAATTTAAATATGTTGACTAGAGAGATCGTTAATGATTTAGAAAGGCGGGTACTACTTAAAGTTAGTATTTGGGATAAGCCTAATAAACTTATGATGACTATATGGCCATCAATATAAATATACAGGCTTCATGATATTTCATTGTTCATTCCTCAAGTATATTTTAAGATCAACAGAATATTTCAGAAGTTTATTTGGAGTAACGCTTCACCTCACCTCTCACTTAAGTAAATGCTGTTGCCAATATCAGAAGGTGGTTTTAATTTTCCAGATATTAGTTTGTAATCTTTATGGATGGTTTGTTTGGGGTTTATCTCTGTATAAGAATTATTTTAGCTACAGGTTGTTGTCTGTCAGTGGACAGATGTGTTACCAGAAAAGGGAAGGAGATGAAGAGGGCCAAGCAGTTGCTATTAAAACTATACTGGGCAGGGGAAAATATGGAAGTGAACAATAACATCAGTGCTATGGGAAAGAGAAATGCGGGTGGTTTTGGATTGCTCCCAAACTATCCTGCATTTCAAATAGGGATAGACACTTTGGAACCAGATAGTCTTCACTGCAGGTCCCAAGTTAGTGAAGAGGAAATCAACAGATGCTTAAGACCTGACCTGATCTTGGCTGAGCATGCAGGTTTGGCTTTTGTTATAGAGACCTAACTGGATGAAGCTGCTGGGTTAATCTAGTTCCTTTATCTCCTAAAGTTTAGGAGAAAGGCAGCATATAAATACTTTACGTAAATAAAATAATTTATAAAATAAATAAAATAAATTACAATAATTTTAATAATAAAATAATAAAATAATTAGTAATCTCTTTCAGGTCTACCCACCAGGATTCTCTGTTGTAGCAGCAGGCAAGGCCCATCAGGGAAATACAGTGACTGTCATGATAGAAGGAATAGATACCCTTTCCTAGAGTCTGTTGGTTGTGACTATATACCCCTGAAAATGTATGCCCTGGACAGAATGGAAATTCTCTTGGTATACCATCCACCCTGCTGCTCAACAGTTTCTCTTCCTGAATTTGCTGAATTTGGTCTTGGTGGCGATGCCGGAGTCTCTTTGGCTTTTAGTGGTGGGGGACTTTAATATCCATGCCAAGGCCACAGACTCAGGAATGGCTTTAGAATTCATGTCCTGCTTTAGAACTATGGGAAATATATTGGAAAACTATAATATCTCATGCATCCTGACAACTGAATTTTGCTATATTAATATTTTAGGAGGATTGGGAAGGGGGGGGAAAGGAAGGAGTTAGTTCATTCCCATTTTTGTTATTATAGGGAGGAATCTAAGAAAAGGCTGAGCTCACCTCATTTTTAAGTCGGGGATTGAGTTTGGTCAAGGTTCATATTCTGAGCACAGAAATTACAAACTATGGTAAAATTTCTATTAGTGATTTTTGTGACCAAAGCTGGTACTATGTCTCCAACTGAAACAGACCTCAAATTTTCTGACCTCTACAGTTTCCGACATATGCACCTGATATTTTACTAGAGACGTAAAGAATTGTACAGTTAGATTTGAATGTGTGACATGGATCTATGAATACTTTTCTTCATAGCTCCTTCTGGCATAATCAGAAGAGACCAAACACTTTACTTTTAGGCACATGATGAGCAAATTTGAGATATCTGTCTGAAATGTATGGGAAGACCAAAGGCAAACTGTAAAATACCTGCCAGCAGCATATACTAGAAAGGTCACTGAAAGATTACATAAGAGAAGAATGGCTTGTGAGATGAGGACAATCTTGTATGTAAACTGTACTCTTTCAAGACAATTTAATGAACTAGTGATCAATAAAAAACCCTATTTATTGTTTCTAGTGACAAGATACACTGATATTTAGAGATATTCAGCTTGTTCCATGTATTTCTACTTATTTCCTAAACTAGAATAAAACATGGCAGTATATTAACTATTATATTTTTATATCAAGTGATGAAGCACAAAACATATTTTATTTTTCAGGTTTACATATCAATCATGCAGCAGTTAGCAATGTCTGATACCAGTGCTGAAAAGCCTCATCCTTCCCATCACAGCACAGGTGCTGTTCAAATGAGGATCAGAAGTGTTAACAGCCCCCATGACAGACACAGCCAAAGCAAATCCATGATCCTGCCTGAGAATCTGAAAGTCATTGAACCTGTAAGTACTGTTGTGTATGGATTTTCTTTCTCTCACTTTCTTCCCCCCATTATTACTATGCTCAAAATATTCTGAAATTTACTATATTATCTCCAAGTAACTGCAAGCTACTCTTCGCTAAGCCTGTAACTCTATAATTGAAGTGTATTTTACACTGAATTAAGGATGTGAAAGAATCTCACTGCTGCAGAGGTTGCTTCTTCAATCTGATGGGAGTGCAGTGGAAGTAATCATTAACAGTCTTGGGAGATCTTGGTTCAAATGTGAAGCTAAAATAAATTTTTTAATTTCCATTTTTATTTTTTTTTTGGTAAATTGAATACATAATTTTCACGGATTCCTGATCACTGAAAGCAGCAATAGGCTAATCTTTTGGGAGCTATTTTTTTCTATAGAATAACTCCAAGACTCATTTTATATAAATTATATCCAGTGCCATCTAGCTCACCCAGTCAACAAGAGCTGTTGCATTTTCCAACACAGACCATTTTACTAAATGTACAAAAGCAGCTCATGAAGAGAATAACATTTCGGCAAGAAAGAAACATTTTCCCATTTTCCTTAGGAACCACCTGAGGAGAAGTTCAACAAGAACCTATATTTCTACATTGAACTCAATTAGACTTACTTCTGATGCAGAGCTTGGGAAGTTACTTTCAATGATTGTTGTGAAGCCATCCATAACTGAAAAAGTGGTAGGCTAATGCTTTGCATCCCAGAATATCATCCTATGCCTACTTGGTTATGGAGAGCTTCAGCATGTAATTAAATTCATCTGTGAAGGGCCTCATGCAGTAGAGTGACTAACCAGATAAGCCTGGTAAACCCTTATGTGCAGATCAAACAGGTAACACTGTTCATTGTTTGACTCTTTCTGATTCCTCACTGTTACCATAAAAGGTCCAAGGTACTGCATTTTGATTTATTGCTATTAGCAGGAATATCCTAATCTATTATAAAAACCATCAAAGACACAGATGGTCAATTCCAGAGGAGGGTCTGGAAGATAGTCCTGCTTCCAACCAGGAAACCTGTACAGTACTTCTGCCTGTACTAGCGGAAGTGTAAAAAGCAACTGTACTTGTATGAGACTCTTCACCCCCCTTTAAACAAAGTGTGTGAAGTAGAATAGATTTTTTTCTGAAAGAGACCCATACTTCCTGGTGTCCCCCAGAAGAGAAATCATCTTTTTGGACTCCTTCTATACCTTGCTTTTAAGAGAAAACTGAGTGTCTTTAACTTCAGTAGCTGCACCATCAAATTCAACAATGGCAGAAGATTTGGGAGTTGCAAAAAAGGATGTGCTGCCACTCTGTTCTGTCACACCTCTCCATATTAGACACAGCTTCATATGTCTCTAGTGCATGTTGGTCCTCATTATCACATTCTTGGTCAACACAATTTAAAAAGTATATTAGGGCTTTTAAGATAATGAAGCAGTCAAGCTTCTAAAATAATTAATAATAATTCTGTGCTGTCAAGTCAATTCTGACTTACAGTGATCCTTTACAGAATTTGCTAGACAGAAGTAGTTTGCCATTCCCTTATTCTGGAGTGCCCTGGGGCTGTGCAGTTTGCCCAAGACCAAACAGGCTTGCTGTATTATACACAGATACAGCAGGACTCTCATATTTGCTGGGGATTGGTTCCAACCCTCCCCCATGGATACTGAAAACCATGGATAATAGTGAACTCTCTCGATAGATAGATAGATAGATAGATAGATAGATAGATAGATAGATAGATAGATAGATAGATAGATAGATAGATAGATAGATAGATAGATAGATAGATAGATAGATAGATAGATAGATAGATAGATAGATAGATAGATAGATAGATAGATAGATAGATAGATAGATAGATAGATAGATAGATAGACAGACGGACGGACGGACGGACGGACGGACGGAGAGAGAGAGAGAGAGAGAGAGAGAGAAGGAAAAAAACCAGAATTTTTAACATGCATTACCAAAACTGGCCACTAGAGGGAATGGTAGACCATGTGTTCTTCACTAACAAGTATTCATAGCAAACATGCATTACCAAACCTGGCCACTAGAGGGAATGGGAGACCATTCTAACTAACAAGTATTCATAGCATGGTCTCTGGCTCCTCAAGTGGCTCCCTCTGGTAATGTATGTCAAAGTATTTTTTTTCTTTTTTTTCTTTTAATATTTTCATACTGTGGATAAGTGAATCAGCGGCTACTGATCCCGTGGATAAGGGAGTCCTGCTCTAATTGTTTTAATGTATGCATAACGTATAATTTTAGGAGCTGGATAATCATATTCGAAGACAAGCCTCCACATAAAATGTTAGAATGTAGAAAGTAGTCACTGCTTTTAGAAGTGTAAAGATATTCTCCCCTCTCTGGCGATTTCCATTTTCATCATGCCTCTTTGACTCACAGAATAAAGTAGTGTCAGTGCAGACAGACAACAAGCAATGCTGAGCTCTTACTCCAGAATTAAATAGTCGGTGTTTTACAGGCATAGAATCTTGTTTCTGTGCCTAAATAGCCTAGAATTATACCGGAATAGGTAGTAGAATCGTTTATTTTTCTTTTCCATTCTGAAAAGATTTATACACTAACATTTTAGAGGTGAACCTTGTTGCCAGTCATGTCCCTTCTCCTTTATTCATCCTGTGCTATTAAACCAACTGATTGGTATGAGCCTCCCTTGGTTCATTTTCCTCCATAATGGCTTCAGCTTGCAGCTGAGACTGTATGCTGTTGCAAAATTATTTATGCAGCGTTAGTCACTTGTTTTGGGCTCCAGCTCAGTTTTTCAGCTCAAAGCAAACAAGTCAAATGCCCAAAACTATAAGAAGGTCCCCCTTCCACCACACATATACTTCCTGCTTATCTTTTCAGACCCATGTGATCTCTTGTCTGCTCTACTGATGTGATGAAATTTGAAAATAGTCATCACTTTAACAGAGATAAGCAATGGAGTCAGTTCAGTGCCCATTTGAGTTGTATTGTTGCTGTCATGTCTCCCTGTGATTTTTACCCTGGTGTTCAAATGTGAAATTAACCACAGTCATTTCATCAGCATAGCTCAGCAAATACGTGATTTTAATTATTCTTCTCTCATTTGTCTGAAGTGAATGTTTGGTTCAGAGAATCTGGCATTACATTTCGGGAGTATGAAAAAACTCTCCTCAGATATCAGCATGATAACCACTGAAACATTCATTTCTTTATGTTTACTTTCCAAATGAAAAGGATTACTTGCCTCTGATACATTTGCACACAATACTATAAAATACTGCCCGCCTCATCAGTGAGATGTTCTTTGCCTGGGAAGTAAAAGGGGGTGTTTACAGTAATTCATTTGGAAATAGTATAATGTATTATCAGCAAGAACTGTACCTTTGAAAAAGTTTAAAAGTTAAGTATATTTAATGATGCCTAACATATTTTATTGGCTGTGTTTAACAAAAGGCACTAGGCTGCAGTTGTTTTTGACAAGCATGAAAACATCACAGCATGAGACTGCAAAAGGAATTATGTAGAGAAATTACAAGTGATCCATCTCTCAATGAATTATCCACCTCAATAGCCTGCAGAACTCAGCTACCAATTAACACCTACTTTATTACATGTTGGGATGTACTTAATAACTTTCATGTGTTTATGCACTATTACCTTGACTGATGCCTCTTGTACAATTAGGCATAATTGGCATATCAATATGCAAAAGTTAAAAGGATTAACCCTCTTAAAACTAATGAGCATTTCTGTATCCAGCTGGTAAATGAGACAAAATTAGCATTTTTCACTTTTGGGCAGGATTTTATCATGCAGTTTCTCATTGTTGGTATTACCTTGTTACATAACTTTCTGTTTTGTTGGGGAGGAGGGAGCAGAATAAGTGAGGATGATAAAAAGAAAAGGATTCTAGAAAGTTGCACAAGGCACAAACATTTGCTGCTGGGTTTTCCATAAGCATAGCAGTTGCAATTTATGTCCTTTTGTAGGGAGCTGAAAAAGTTGTGTTTTCTTAACAGCTAATTATAGAGATGCAGGGTATGTCATTTCACCATGCAGACTTGGCTCTGATATAACAGATTGAAGGCTTGCCATGTGCCTAATTTCCTGGTTCTTTCTAGTATTTTCATCTCCCTTTTTTTTCAATGCAGAGTTTTCCGACTAGATACTGACAGAATGAATAGTATTTTGGCATATTTACCACAGGAAGCTTGTTCGATGACTGGTAAAAGGCAACTGGGAAGGACCAAAGTCTTAAGCAAAATCCAAACATTTCAAAATACATCCAGAGAAACCAGGGGGATTCGGAATTGGAAAGATTTACCCATAAGTCGGTGTTGCTTAAATGTCAACATACTACCGTCCAGGAGGCATGATTCATAATGAAATTTATGAAAGCAATAGAAAATAATTTTTTTAAAAAAAGAAATATTTTTCTGCTCCATATTTTGGGAAATTAATTATATTCCTTTTATTTGCAAGCGCCACACATTTATGAATTTTTATCACTACAAATTGCTTTTTTTTCTCTGACAAAATACGAAAATCTTGCATCAAGAGTTAGGAAAAAAGCCACATATAAAGAGGAAAAGAAATATGTATTTGCTATAGCCAGTTCCACAGTAAAATACATCACCCTTCCTGCTATATTTATTTGTGACTATAGTTCTACTAACTTAAAGAGGTATTCCTAACGAGCATTGTAAAGTTCAGGTGCTGTACATCTGCACACGTGTTTCTAGTTAAAGTTATAATTATTTTAACTTCTCATTGTCTGTTCATGCAAGAGCAATGTCTGCCTCAGGAAACAGTAGCTATAATCCTATTGCTTAGCTTAATAAATTGCACTAGCCTAGAGTAGGCCCACTGAATTGGTGGAAATTTGGTGAGTCAGGTCTTCCATAAGTTCTATTGCTTCAAATGGGCCTATTCTAACTGTGACTCACTATGTTAATTAAATCACAACTAGAGTAAGCCCATTGCATTGGTTGGACTTAAAAA